TACAACTCCTGATGATTTCTTTGGTAATAATGTTTATGCACGTGGTGGTGTTATGGCGAATTATTCAAATAAATATGTTTATGGTGATCTTGTAATTAATGAAATTAGACAATTTATTCAACAATACTTACCAATTCCCCTTCCTTGGAAATCTGATGATTACATTATTTTAACTAATGGTTTATGTGGTTCTGCTTGTGCTCAAATTGCTGAATATGCTGCTGAATTTAATAATGTAACTGCTGTATCTGTTGGGGGAATCGCTGATAAACCTTTATTAGCTTATTCTTCATTTCCTGGTGGTTTTGTTTTTAACGCTAGTATGATATTTAATTCTTTAGGTAAATTAAATTTATTAAATAATTCTTTAATTCCTAAACCTTTTCCTTTGTCTGGAATGGATCTTACTTTTACTTTAAATGAGATGTATAATAAAATACATCCTGATGAACTTTCGGAATTCGTCTTTATGCCTGCTGATTTTAGATTATTTTATGATGAAAATAATGTTAGAAACTTTTCGACTTTATGGTCTCAGGTTGCTGATTTAGTTGGTTCTAAAAAAAAGTAATAGTTAATTTATTGTTTTCTTTTTAATATTTATTTATTTGTTGTTTTTCTAAGAACAATGTTACTTGTATTGAATTGTCATTATTTTTTTTAATTCATATACATTTAACTTTGAAATTAGCAAGCTTATGATATTTAATTTAATAAATCATCATATTATAATTAAAATAATATTGTGTGAAGTTGATGTCTACAATTTAGTGTTGCAAATGAATTGTCTATATTGCACGTTGTAAAAGTGGGAATAACTCCAGAATCAAGATGTATCAGAAAATGGGATAATTACAGCGCCTTTCAAATTACTGTGACCAGAAGGTTTCACGTATCACACCGGAAATCAGGAATCTAGAAAAAATTCCAATCTATGATTGGCTAAAAATTATTAGAATAATTTTTTAACCAATCATAGATTGGCATTTTTTCTAGATTCCTGATTTCCGGTGTGATATGTGGAATTTGCTGGTCACAGTAATTTGAAAAGCGCTGTAATAATAAACAACACTAATACTAACTAAATATTATACCAAACCCATCCAATCTAATCCCTAATAGTGGAAGGCTTTCGATTGAAACGTGAAAGATTTGGTCGAGTAACTAGGGATAATAGATCAGAACTATTGACTACGTCACAAGTCTCTAATATAAAATCATGGTTATATATTAGTTAGATTCTAATAATCGGGGTTATCGGTTTATAACACTAACAATTACTTTACTAGTGGCACTCACTCAATTGGGACACTATACAGCAACACATAAATTGAAACACTACACACGAATTTCTTAGCCACAACAACAAACCACACACCCACTTTACACATTCCAAGATTTCACAGATAAAAAACTTAACAATTAAGTTCCTGTTAGATGAATTGCCCACCTCACTTAATCTACACTACATGCATCCACCAACCACACCTGTAATCAATATGTTTAGCCATTGAGAACAACACCCACTGGCTAATCTGTTCTGCAAATTAAACACCACTACACCAACTTATAAACAATGCTATAGCAAAATACTCCAGTAAATATGAGTTCAACTACCAGACACTCTAACGCTTTCACAAATCTTTTTCACAACAGACACATACTTACCAAATATCTTGCTACTACAAGGACTAATTCCAATCAATGTTTATACATTCAC